CAATTCGAAGTCAAATCAGGAGTATGCTTAAGCTTAGACTTACGCTCAGCCCAGTAATGAGGCTAACGCAAAGGCTTCGACTTATGGGTGATGCGTATGAGCACACGAGCATATGTGAAGGCGCGGTGGCGCCCCTTATCAGCAAAAGTGCAAAATAGGTATCCTCCTAAACGGGTTAGATAATTGCGATCAAATAGAACAAATGTCATTGATTGATTTTAAACTGAACAAAACAATTGACTCACTGGTGATAAATACATGATGAAAGATTCACGCAAAAGGCTAGATATACGCGCAGACATGAAGTCAAGTACGTAGTGCATTCATTTAAGATGTTTGTTGTTTGATGATGCTGCTGTGTCAAAATGGTACTGATATTTATTTTATTTAAATTGTCGTCGTCGGGTTTTTACTTAATATGTGTGCTGTTTGTAAAATTGTTTTATGTGAGCATTCAGTTTCTTGTGGAAATTGTGAGTTTGCATTTTTGGAAAAGAGAATGAGTTGAGATGTGGGCTTTAATCAGCAAAAAATGTTGAATCGACATGCATGAGATGAACAGCTATTAGTATGACGATTTGTAGTGTTCATTTGAACGGTAGTCATCGAAGTGTGTGTTATACATGATAAGAAAATACAACGTAAGCGTGATTCAGGAAATGATTTTGAATTCATATTCGCTCTGATTATGAACTTGCTCGTCAGTGTGTTCGTTGTATCTCATTATAGCTCGTACCAGTTTGATCATCTCTAAATATTACGTCTTTTCCCGACAGTTCATGTGCAACTGATGTAACCATAATGCAATCTAGAGCAGTGACTTTTCTAGGGAAGAGATAGAATCTGAGAATGTCATTGGTAACAGAACGGGAAGGTTGGCAGACCAATGTTGATCGCGTATTCATTTCACGATTGTTTGATAAAGCGCTTGTTTGATCAACACAAAGCGCTTCTTCACCTACTTCCCGCTATTCACTAGTCAAACGTTAACATCTTTCTATGGCCGATCGCACCCACACTTTTTTCATCACCGCTTTTTAACACTCATGCCGTTGCGTCGTTCTAACGCCTTCACTAATGCGTGTTCTGCCAAAAAATGCAGCGTTGAGTGAATTTCATTGTCTGCTTTTCAAAGACCATTTAGACTATGACCGTGGCTTGATAAGCCGAGATGTTGGCCAATATAATCGATAAAGACTCATAACATATGACTAACTTGCTCCATACTTGGCCACGCAATATGCGATGTGCGATCTTGTTTTTTACATTTAAATGATTTGTTAGTTTTATGCTATTTTTCTTACTGGTTTTACCGATCATGGTGACAGTAATAATTGGAATAGCAGTTGCCGAAAACTTTTGCGGCATTATTTGTATCGGTTGTACACGCAGTTCTTCCATAAAAAGGCTACGTCTTTCTTATGTTGCACTCATAATATTGACAAGCTATGGTATTTTCTCAAAGTAAACTAATAATGAAACTATGGGCAAGACATGAACGGATGTGGTTTTTGTATAGGAGAATTATGGCAAAAAATAACGGCGACGTGGCATGCATATTTTCAGTGGAAAAATTTCGAGCAAGTAATGCCATCCGTTATAAAAATGGGGTCGGAAATGATGAATGGTTTGTAGCGGTTTTATACTGATATGAACACATCGGTGGACATGGGAATGAAATTTATTTTGTATTGCGTGTGACTCATGTGCGGCAGGTTTTTTTTTGGGAGGGAGAGGAATAGATTCTGGTTGTTTTTTGTCGTGTTCATGTGGTGTAGTTATATACTTGAACCTGCATGTATTTTCCATTTCAGTGGCTTAGACTCAGTTACACTTTAAACTGCCCCCCCCCCCCCGCAATCCTTCAGAATCCACCAGTCACTGTTAGGCTCCCTAGAAGTGCATTTTGAAACAAGATGACTCAGAAACATGTGGTGAGCAGCACCGCAAAATGCAGTTGAGCGACGTTTGTTTATCACAGTGTTGTTGGTTGGTTGTTGTGAACAATGCCGTTAATTGATCGTATTAATATCGCATAATTCGGCTTTGTTTTTGCTGTTGTTATTATGAAATTATGTTGCATTGAAATCACATATTACCAAGCGATGCGTAATCAGTGTTGGCATCGATATGTGTCGATTTCACAGTTGCGTATAAATCGAAGGAAAGGGGTATTGTTGTCCAGTTAGCACTAAATGCATAGTATAGGAAAAGTCCGTCTACATGATTCGAGTGCGTTGTTATTTGCTTATTTGTGCCGGCACTCACAAATTTCATTAAATAGCTGTCTAGGTCGATACAAGCAAACTGCGGACAAATAATGCCGAGAAAATTGTCAGTGAATCACCGTAATTATTCGAAAAATTTGCAGATAGTTTCCTATCATGGAGCGTGTCAATGTTGGTATGCACGTCGACATTCGACGATCTGATGGGCGCGTTCATAACGCAGTGATTAGTGAAGTGCGTAAGGAGTCATCCTCAGTCACAGTTGAATGGTTTGAAAATGTACATTCTTATTTGTTTGTTCAATTAATTTTAAAAATTATGCCGTCATTCTCGTTATGGATAGTTGATATTTTGAAGGGTGAAACAAAAGGCAAAGAAATTGACCTGAAGGCGCTATTGGCGATCAATCCAACATTGGCCGCACCACCTCCATCAACACCGATCGCTAACACATTCAGTAATGACGAAAATAGAATCACTTCTTCATATGTGAATCTACGCCATAATGCGAATAATACCAATGCGGGTATGTCACTTTCTATAAGTTGATCTTTGTTATATATTTGTCGACAGTGAACAATGAGGTTATGACTGTATGTGTGGTAATTTATTGAAAATTATCTAATTTTAATATCATGCACTGTTTGTTTTTCACTTGCACTTATCTGTTATCAGTGTTTTTTATTGTTATCACAGTTACTAATGTTATCGTTGATTGAAGAAACAAAATTCAATGGTCGTCGGTCGTATACGGTTGCACCGTCGAATGTTGGAATATCAAATGGAATTGGAGCAACCTCAAATGGAAATTACGTTGATTCGTCAGTGCTAGAAACACTATCGGAAGAGAATACAACATTCGCGCCGTCAACTCCGCATCAACCCCAATCAAATGCACGCGCTGTTGCAAGGAATACCACTGCAATTTCACAGCCATCTAAGATGCCTCCTCGCAAGAATCGTTTCACACTCGATCCGTCCAATTTCAATGTTGATGATATCGGTGAGAATTTCCACTTGCTTTTTGTCCCTATTCAATTCTGTTCGCTTCTTTTGCTTTCACATTATAATTTTTTCTTTCTGACTTACCATACTTCATGCATTTCTATCACCGCTTTCGCTACTGCAATCGCCGTTGCCAGCATGCTTTTCCCAGTGTTTTCTCTTCGTTCATTTCTTAATTTCCAGAACGAAATTAATGCTTTTATTGATATCATTCTGGATCATTGGCAGATACTTTCCATTTTTAATGATCGTCTATTATTATTGTTCTATTTGTAATGTATGTTCATATTTTGAGACCAATCGAAGTGAATAAATGAATAATATTCTGGACGAGATTTGATCGAACAACTTTCAGGAAAAGAAAAAGATGATCAAGAAAAATTAATGGGGAAATCTAGAACAAAAAGGTATGATTTACGAAGTAGGCAAACGAGAAGAGTTTCAGCAGGACCGATTCGAATGCTGAGCACACCTTGTATTACAACTACTCCTGCATTGGATAATATTCCGAGTTCGATATCTGCTACGTCAACTGTAGGAGTGATGCATCAGATATCGAATAAGTCATCAACCGTTCAGGAGATTGAACGCCTGCAACGGAATCGTGAAGAACGTCGTGCACATCAAGTATTATTTGTCGTTATTGTTAGTTCCTGATTTTGACTGATTTATGTGATGCATTCGCAACTTACAGGTGGTGGTAAAGAAGCAAAAAGAACAGCTGAAAAATCTCGACCCAGGCAATCCGAATTGGCAGTTTTTAACAATGATTCGAGAGTATCAGTCAATGATTGATTTTCGTCCACTCAAAATCACCGATCAGGTTGTGGATTCACTTTACTCTTTTCGAAGGATAACTACCGCATTTAATTTTACTCTCCTCTATATCATCCTCTTTTTATATTTATTTCTTTTTGTCAATTAATTTTCGATGAAACGAAGCGTATTCCTGTGCAGTGGTAATTACTGTTATATAGCAACCGTAATACGGAGACTCTTAACGAGCTCTCAATTTTAGGTTGCAGAAAATCGAATAACGGTTTGTGTCAGGAAGCGGCCCTTGAACAGAAAAGAAATCATGAAGAAAGAAATTGAGGTGAGTTATTTATATTATTTCATTTTTGAACACTTTTCTATCATTCCAGCACTTTTCCAAATGTATTTTTGTATTGTTCACTTTATCGGATGCAAATTCAAAATGCCCTTTGAATTCAACAGCAAGACTTTCATGGTATTAAATTGATATGTGATCCGAGTTTGGATAGAATTATTTTTTGATTAAAATGACCGTTTTTCAAGGTTATAACAATACCAAATCGTGATCACGTTATTGTGCATCAGCCACAAGTGAAGCTTGATTTAACAAAATATTTGGACAATCAAAAATTCCGTTTCGATTACACGTTTGATGAGAATAGTAGTAATGAGATGATTTATCGGTATGAGTTTTTACCATTATTGTGTGGCTCTTTTATGCTGTTTTAAATTTACATATTCAGTTTTCATTTCTCCTAACTTATTATTTCGATTGCTTTAATGTGCAATTGAAGTAACATTTACTAAAATTTCAATTACTGAGTTATTTTCAATTGGAAAGTATGTTCAAGAAAAATATGCTAATATTATATTTGATCGGTTAGACTCATTGTTGCTTGCCCACAAGAACAAGCCAATAGTTGATGCGTTTTGTAGCTTCACGGCACAACCACTGTTGAAGACAGTGTTTGGGCAAGGTTTTGCAACTTGTTTCGCGTATGGCCAAACAGGATCTGGTAAAACCCACACAATGGGTGGTAATTTCACTGGCAAAACACAGGTAAGCAGTGATTTGTTTTCGTTTGAATTTTTATCGTTAGGTGTATGATGAGCAAAGAAACTAATTCGATGTTTTAGAAGATCCGTCTCATCAGAATTGCCTGACAATGAAGCGATTGGGAACATGGAGGGATTTTGGGTGTGAAGTAATTCTAAGAATCTAGTTTTTTGCAAGTATAAGTTTGATTTGTTCTTATTTTAGATGCTGAAATGAAGTTTTGATTAATTTTAACTCATTGAATAAGTGGTGTAAGTGTATATTTTCCAATTGGACTTGATCGCTTTTATGGCAGCTGCATTACAAGTTTGGGTCGGGGTTTTTGAAGCAGTATGCTTGGATAATTGAATGATGAACTCAGGATTGCTCAAAGGGCATCTATGCGTTGACGGCAAGTGATGTGTTCAAAACACTCAATACGGACTATAAGAAGGACAATCTTCAAGTCGGCTGTAGCTTTTTTGAGATCTATGGTGGAAAAGTAAGTTGAAAATTATGCTTGTATATGAAGTTCGCATTTTTTAACATTTTAAACATTTTTGTAGGAAATTGAAAAATTTAAGAAACATTATAGGCGGATTCTGTTATTGTTGTTTTCTGTTTAAGGTGTTCGACTTAATTGCAAATAAATCGATGCTAAAAGTACTTGAAGATGGAAAAGGTCAAGTGCAAATTGTTGGTCTACAAGAAGTAATCGTGAACAACGAACAAGATGTAAGTGAATGTAATGAAATGCTTTCAGTTAATATGCGTTGACACTTGTGGCTGTCTTAACCGTTTCTCTCAATATTGGAATATTCTTATTTGAGTAAGTGTATACCGATTTGGACCTTAAACATTCATTTTAGTGTTATAGTTTGTAATTTAGATGAGCAAACGCGTTGATTATTGTGTAATAATAATCCCGATGAATGTGCTAGCATTTTAAATGTTATTAACAGGTATTGGATATCATTCAAAAAGGCACAGATATTCGAACCGCTGGTACGACATCTGCCAATCAAAATTCATCTCGTTCGCACGCCGTCTTCCAGATTATCCTTAGGAAAAAGTACATTGTTTTTGTTTTTTAATTGATTGTTTTTCATTTATTTATTATTTCACGTTTCTTGTTCATTTGTATAGATAATTTATAAGTTGATTTACAGTTTGATGTATCATTGCTTAAGCAAAAATAGTTTACGATCAGATTGATATTGGGAATAAATGAATAGATACGTGTGCCCAAAGCAAAGATTGTCAATTAGGTAACATCTAATTTATCTCAGACCACCGAGGAATGCGCGCAGTTCACCTGGTCGTCTGTGGGGTAAGTTCTCATTAATTGATTTGGCTGGCAATGAACGAGGTGTCGATACGATCTCGTCGGATCGGCAAACTCGCATGGAAGGTGCTGAAATCAACAAGTCGCTGTTGGCGTTGAAAGAATGCATACGGTAAATTGTTATGTATCAATAAATGATTAAGTGTTTCATTTATCGTTGACAGTGCAAGAAAAGTAAGGGAAAAGTGAATGTATTCATTATTGTTGTTCACAAATTTTAACTCATTCGGTTGGGTATTTGAAGCCTCAGTTATATCGCTGTGTTGACTGTTTTGTTTTTTAGCTACCACAATCTCTGAGTAACTACATTATGCATAGAATATGATTTCAGTGCTATGGGTCGTAATTCAAGCCATGTTCCGTTCCGAACATCGAAATTAACATTGGTTCTTCGTGATAGTTTCATTGGCTCGAATGCTAAGACATGCATGGTTCGTAAATTAATTACGCTTGGTGGATTTTCATTTTCATTATGTAGTTGATCATGTGTCATCAGTCATTATCCATGCATCACGATTATCTCAAGATAACGTTGATCGTACTGATCATTTAGTTCTGTATGCAATACCACGCGCTGAAGTCTTGCTCCCCTCCATATATATTTGGTAGTTTTAGTTTCGGTACACTTCCGAACTAGTACATAATTGTTTTTTTCACTTTTGATAAATGGCAACGAGGCGTGTATTTGTGAATGTGTTGCATATTCCAGATTGCAATGATCAGTCCAGGAATGTGTTCGTGTGAGCACACACTCAATACACTGCGCTATGCTGACAGGTGTCTTATTTGTATTATTTCGTCGCACACTTACTGTGTAGAACATAATCAAAATTTCCGTACGGTTAATCACAAACGGTCGTTCCCGAAATAAACTGGAATCAGAAATTTAGAATGATAACATTGATTTGATACCTTGAACATTCCACAATGCTTATTCTAATAGTCAAGTCCTCTTGGATAACCTCTAAGTTGTTGATCTTTCCATCGTGTATTTCTACTTTAAACACTAATAATCAACGCAGTCGTTTGCACCGTTTCATAAAATCATGTTCTTTATAATTTTGTTAAGAGTGAAAGAATTGGGTGCTGAAGATGGTGCTTCAACGCCAATGGAAGACGAGGAATTGATGTTGGGAAATATTGGTGACGATTTGGATATACTCTCGACTAGTAATGTATGGTTGTTCGTATTTTGTGAATGATTTGAATGCATTCAATTAGTAGTACTTTCGGTCAACTTCTTGTTTGAAGGATATGACTGAAGCAGCGTATCGACGGCAAAAAGCACTACAAGATATTGCAATCGCTGAGGAAAAAGTTCTTGATGCATTGGATAGCGTTTGTGAGGTAGATGCGGTTTCACTATTCCAGTTTATCAAATTAAATTTTTAGTATCCAACATTGATAATATGTTTAGTGATAAACCTTTTTTTCTTTTGCACACAAGTGAGCAAAGAATCAGTAAAATTCATATGGTTTTAAGGGTATTGATCAGCGTGGAGCGGAATTAAAATCGCTGAGAAATCGTTCAAGTAAAGTTGATTATGATATGGATGCTTTCGTGAGTGATCTGTTGCGTGTCGCTGATGAAGGATATAATAAATATTGTCGTCTTCATGGTGCAGTACTTTTGCTACATACGTCTGAATGAAAAAAAAAGATGCATAGGCACTTGTATACTTGGGAGGGGGGTTGCACGTAAGCATGCTCGCGCACAACAGCACACATATACGTTCATGCACATTGTGAACGACGCTTTCACATGGACCGAGGCCATATGNAGAGGCATGGCCTCAGCATAAGAATAGCCTCAACGTAAGGGTAGCCTCAGCCCAGGCTTAACCTCAACCCAAGCCTGAGCTCGCTTGCTAGTCCCCCGTTGTAACATCGAACAATCATTGGGCGTCCATGAAGGCCGAGGCTACGCTTCGGATAAAGCTATGCTTAGGCTGAGGCTACGCCTACTGCGCATGGTCTCGATCCATGTGAAAGCGTCGTTCATAATGTCTATGAGCGTATATGTGTTGTTGTGCGAGCGTGCGACCCCCACCCCCCAAAGTAAACAAGTGCAGACGAATTTCTTTTCACCGTTCGATCCAACAAAACCTCTAGATTTAGAGTGTAAAAAGTTTTATTGAGCAGTTTGGTTTAGTTGAGGAAACGTGTTTACGTTTCACATTTTTATAATCGGTATCGAAAAGTGTTACTTTGAATATGTTTTACTTCGGTTTTATCTGACCACAATCAAATCTTAGAATGCTTAAGGGTAATGTTATTTTTAGAATGTGCTGAACAACTGCAAGCTGAAATGCGTCGAGAGATCGAAGTGAGCAACACTAAGGAAAGTATCTCAAAACGGCACTGACTTATATCAATTTGCGTTTATCACACACTATTTTATTCAACTGACGGGTATTCTAATCTTGTGAGCAAAAGAAAGGGAAATTTTTTTGATAAACCCGTTAAGTTTCATTTATGTCTGTTTCAATTTAATTATTTGACGGCACTTGAAGACATTTTAGTTGTTCAGTTATTCTATGGAATGATTAAATTATTTATCGCAACTTGCTTCATCATTCAGTTTAAAATTATATTTTGTATTTTCGTCTCATTTTCAGTTCACATTTGTGAAACCATCTGGAATGTTCAGCGCAAAATTCAGATTATATATCCATTGCTTTTTTTCCGGAATTGACAAAAAACCATGAAATCGATAACTGCAGTGTTTTGACATTTCTGTTGCTCAGTTGGAATTTTCAAAGACAATTTTAAAACATTATGTTTTCCCGTTTAAAAAGTTTATTCATACTTAAACCAGTCCTGTTTTATTATTGGGTCTGGTTTTATTGCGGTGTTTAGCAGAATGAAAACGAATGCAAATGTGTACTGATTATGGATGGATTGCTTATGATATATCTGAATCTAAGACGTTCCATTTAATCATTTGTAATGATTTGTGCGGGTAGTTTTATTCGAGTTTGTGTCCTGCATTCATTGTTCGCATTCCCCAAGGGTTTATTTCCTTCAGTTTATTCGTGAATGCTACCTTGAATAAATAAACGTTCAGTTCATCAACCGAACTGTCAATGCTTCGAACATGGAGATGTACATCTATGAGATTGTTAATCATTAGACAGGGATCGGTGTAGTTTTAAGCTGGAATTGTCATTTCTGTAGTTTAGGAGGTGAGTTTTTGAGGATATCGTTCGGTTGCTGCGGAGTTGGTGTTTGTGCTGAAATCATTATAAATATACTCCGGAAAATTTTCGTTGCGCAGCGCTTAGAAATGAGTGAAACGATGATGCAGAATGGAAGTGATTCAAAGTCGAAAAAATGTCACACGATTTCTGTGTTGATTGCATATATGGTGTATATTTGCGTGTGAGGTGTTTATGTACAATGCCACTCAGTTATGATTNTGATTATAAATCTGATTCCAGTGTTCGCTTCGTTCATGCCGAATAAAATATTTTATTTCAAATAGTTCTGTTGTTTTCTCGTTGAATTATTATTTTCCGTTGATTCGACTACAACGGACCTTGGAAGGTTATTTTCTGCATAGATTCGATGAGCTAGTGATCTGCTCATTCATTGATTTTTATGTCGTATATCTGATGCATCGACTGTGAATAATCAATCAGCTTGCTGTTAATCAATCGTCTGCTAATTTCATCGCTCTATTCTCTCCAGCTGCTTGCTTCGATGATGACACCTGAAGTCAAATCGAATTATTTGATCAGTTTTCTTTTCATTGCGTCTTACTGATTTATTCATTTACTGATGTGTATGAATATATTCAATTATGACTATAATCACAGTTGATTGCTCTTCTCATGCGTGCTTAACCCGTACTGCTTAATAATGTGTTATTATGGCCGCATCATACGCTTACTTCGAATCTCATTTCACAAGTTGTTTTTTGAATTGCTTTTATGTTTTCTTTGTTCTGACTAGCTGCTTGCTTCCATAACAGCGCCTCATATTAAATAAGTCTTAGAAGTCATCTTCATCTCATTATCCTTCTTCATCCTGCACCACTCCATTTCATCCGTTCATCCACCATTTATTTATTCCTAATCCAAAATCTTCCTCTCACCCGCTCCCCTCTTTTTTCTCATTCTTTTTCCGTTTGTGTGTAAAGAACGATGAGAGATAAAGTAAGTTGTGCTGATGGTTCGAATGCCTGGCTACAATATCGTAATGTATCATTGTCCGATTCGACGTCATTATCCGATTTGCACTGCTCGAAATCGAAAAACGAGTTTACTGATAATTTGAAGAGAAGATTGTGAATAATCGTTTAAATTAAACGTTTCGTTTGTGCAATTTTCGATGAATATTGGATTTTGGTGAATGCACATAATTTTTTTCTGAAGCTGATAAATGTAATGTAACAGATCTGAACAGAATCTAATTTGGGTATTGATCCTGATAGTGATTTGATGGAATGAGATAAAGGAGCACTGAGACTTCCTCGAAGGCGTAAATTTAGTTCCGTATGTGTAAAGGTTTCTCTTCTTTGTTGTGTACCAAAAGAATTCATGAGTTTGAGTTGAAACGTCAAAATGAGCAGTATTTGTAATCTGATGTATCATTGCTCGTTATCAACATGAGTAAGTGGGGCGTTTCATGAAACAGATTTTAAAAAACGTTCAGTCTAAATGCTTAATTTATTTTCATTTTTATAAGAAAAATGTAAAGCGGGATTGAACCTAAGCAATATCTATTCGATTCTATAAAACAACGACTGGGCAGTGAAACGATAACGCAACGCAGCATAAGACGCATATATGAATCTTGTTGTGGTGTTGAATGTCTATTTGTTGTGTGTGTGTGTGTGTTTTACATTTTATAATAGCGTATTTCTTTGTTTTATGTATTAATGCAGTAATCATTGTTGTTTCATTAATGACTAATTTTGTGACGATGAAAATTGATAGTATTTTGGCAGTGATAATTACGTATTTGCTTTTGTAGAATGCAAAAGTGGTTTATGCTAATTGAGGTTATATGGTTTGGTGAGGAATAAGATGAACAGATGAGGTTGTGGTGATGTTGCTAGTGGGTGTGACTATTTGCCTGTTTTTGTTATGGAGTTGATTGGTAAATGAATAATCATACTGCTTATTTTCATATCATGTGTTGAAAGGATTATTTAGTGATTGACTGAATGCATATTGATTGTTGTCTCGTGATTATTGTTGCTGTGATAGAAGAAGCAAGAAGTCGTACGATTATGTCATCTTTTTTTGCTTCTGATAAGTTTCAATTCATCGAGTTCATAACGCGTACGGTTCATTTGATCATTCATCATCTCGTTCAAGCTTTGTAATTTTTTAATGATTGCTATTCAATTTTATCATACTCGCTGTCATTCTACTTTCAGTTATTCTAGTATACTATTTGTATTTATTATGTTTATTATTATTATTATTATTATTGTTATTTGTTGTTATTTGTTATTATTATTATTATTACCATTATTACTATTGTTATCATTAACAATATTACAAAGATTAGCAGTTGCACGAAATAGTTTTTTTTTCATTTTTAATTTACTACCAGGTTCGATGCAGGCTAAGACCAAAAGGTTTACAGTTTCAGTATGAGCTTTATTTGAAAGCTGATGTATTTTTCATTGAAATAAATTGATATAACAAGCAATTACTGCATTACCTCGAAATATACATTCGAATGTATCTGTTACGAAAGCGAATGATGTGTAACATTTTATAGCGAGCTGCTGAACATTGCTCAGTCGTGTAAATATCACATGTATTGTTGTGCTTATTGCTTGCCACGTTGCCACATTGATCAAACATTCTTGAATGCTTTTTCAATGTTTATGTCACGAACCTCCTCACTTGGATTTACTCATAGATTTTGTTTTGTTTTTGAGGAATCACTAACAGGCCATTTGTAGTGTTTTCTTGCATGTTTCTATCAAAAATGGAGAGTTTGATTGAGTTGAATGCAAGAAATATATATCACTGATTTGAAGAAGTGCAATAATTTCGATGATTTTAGTCGATTAGACATCGAGTTATCGAGAGTGTTATTTGCGTGCGTCGTAACAAATTGTTGCTTGATCAGTTACGGATGTTAGTGATTGTTTGCTGATGTTGTGACATGTATACTTTAGTAAATTACAGCATGGTGGTTTATAAATGGCAAATGTGACTTCTTCATCTTCCATTGATGATCAACAAGAACGTCATTTCATCGGGGATCTTCTAAGTGAAGAAGACGTCTTTGGGCAACCTAATTCTACGCGTATTGGTTCGTTTCATTCAACTTTAGTCGTGTTTCGATTTTTTATTGAAATATTGAACGTTTAGATGTGATTGTATTTGACTGCAGTGTGATTCAGCATCGAAGTGATTTTATAAATTCATTTGTAAAGATTCAGATTGTGATGCAATCATAGATATTGCAGAGAGTTCGCCCAATTCTGGTTTACCAGCAACAAATGTGAATGTGCTGCCAAGTTCAGGCGCATTAGGTCCAATTCCGAATCAGACGTTTTGGCCTGAGCCACCACCACCCTACAGTCCGTATACGACAACATTAAATGGCACATCGTGTACAAGCAGCACGTCTTCAATCTCCTCTTCACAATGGCAGTCGTCAGTAAATCATCAACAACAACGTCTCCATCATCAAACAAATGCAATCGCTGCCTCAATCCCTCCACCACCTCACATTGCTGCTCTTTATGGGCAATCTCCTACCGCGACTGCTGTTACTCGCACTGATTTCTACCAAGTTCCCTTCAATGGCGTTCGTTTTTCTTTAAATTTCATTTTTCTTCACTTCATTCCATGCTAACAGCATACCGTATATGCATTCATTTCATTATTTTCAAAAAATTTTTGGCGTTATGTTTGCAACTCCAAAAGTTTTAAGTTGAGAGAGTCTTTCAAATAGTGGATAATAAATGAATGCCATATGTATATAAATGAAGAAGTACAGGCCGCTGAATGGGATCCGGTCACTGGAGCACCAATTGATGCGTATTTCCAATTGGGATCAGGAATTTCGTATTCACCGCACACCGGAATGCCAGTCAGCTAATTTCTTTTCGTTTGTTGTCACTTGTTCGTCTTCTGAAATGATGACTTTTCTTGCCATTTATTGCGCTGATTGATCGAGTTTTTCGTTTTCTTCGTGGTGGATAGTTTCAGTAAGCTTGTGATGTAAATGGACTTAAAAAATATTCTAATTTGAACGCAGCTGATAACATGTTTCTAAGGATGATACAAAATTCAGTGATAAAATTTTATTTGTAATCATACAGATGATAAAGCCGATGATAGCGAATGGGAATGGCATGGGTCAAGTGCAGCATCATTACCATCAGAACTTGTATCATCACCACACACTGATCAACAGTCATCACTACAACACATCGTCGAATCTGATCACTGGTGTACCTCCACCAGCGGCATGCCCGCCACCACAAATCGCCGCCTTAGCGTTGGCTGCGGCTCATCCGAATAATAATCCAGCAACAGCAAACCATAATTACGCTGCATCGCAATCAGTCGATCCCAGTGCATTGATCTCAATGCATCATACAAAAATGAATGCTGCTGGTGCTGTGCTTTCTTCAACGACACCATTTAGTAAACACTCGCAAAACAATCACCCACAAGCATAGTTCGTTTTCATTTGTCATTTGAAAGTTTGAGATGTGTTCATCTAGTGTGTTCAGCAATGAATTTCAGTAATGAATTGAGTGGAATGTCCAGAGTTGTCGAACGAGTAGATAACGAGCAAGTGGCCATAAATGCAAAGAGTAATAATAACGCTACAGTTAACATCTCGTCAACGCCATTAGCGTTAAACACGAATAATAAAAGTTATCGTGATGCTGCATCAAGGAAACAACAACAGCAACGTGGGGCTGTTCAAGCTAATTCAGCAGCAGCCCAACTCAACTTGCGTTTTGCATCATCGAACAATGGCAATTCATCAAGTTTGTTTATTTCTGATTATCAATACCACTCAATTCTTATTGTTGTTGCTACTATTATCGTTCACATGGTAGTGGTCATTAAATAATCAATCAGATAGAATTCGAATTGCATTTCGTTCTTTTCACTCGTTGAAAATTCCAGAGGTGGGCAACTGCGCGAAGTAGCGGAATAGCGCGCTATTGCCCGCCTCTGAAATTTTCGAAAGAATTGAAGTAATCTGTGGTGAAATTAAGTGCGCAATTGAAACAGTGATGAAAATTGAATGAGTGAAGTTATTTCAGGTACAAATGCACAGAACATGGTGGCTAGAAGAGTGAATAGTTCACAGCGTACATCCAGTGAACGTCAATCAGTTGCTAGTGATTCAGTGGTTGACTATTTAGTGAACCATCATACCACTTTACTCAGTTCTTCTGATAACAATCACCATAAATCAAGCAGTATCGTCAATTCAAGTATTCATAATAACAATGCTAATAATTGTACTAATTCGAATAATGATACTAATAATTCTGCATTCAATAATACTATAACAGCTGATATCGACAAATCACGTAAGCATTTTTATAAAAGGTTGTTCGTTGATAGAAGATAATAATGACAATGTTAATTGGGTAAATTTGAATTAATAATGAATGTACTGAAGTGAACATTGATTTTTTTCAGCAAATGCGTATGCGAAACGTGTGACTGAAAATGAATTCCAAAAAATAACGCATAAGAAAAATAAAGGATGTAAGGGAAATAAAAATGAGCAGATCATTCTGGATGAAGATGGTAAGTATCTTGTATTTTAATCTTTGGTCTGTTCTCTTTGTATCGATGTTCTGTTATCCTCTTTAATTGTTGCGCTAATTGAATCATCTAGTTTTTTTTTATTTTGCCGTACAATTCTTGATCGATATAAAAATCAATCATTCTGTTATTCTCGTGTTTTTGAAACTTCCATTCAGTGTCCGTATTAGGCAATTGATTTTGTTTTTGTGTTAGTCCAAGAGAACGAATTACCGTGGTAATGCTGATCAGGAAGTTTTGTCACCGTTTTCAATACCACGAAAACTGTTGCGAAAAGTTTCTTGAAAATGAAGGAATATGTGTCGAATAGGTATAAGCGGTAACCAAGCCGTAGATGCGTCGAGTCGTTTTGATATTCTTCAATCACTTGGTAGTCAATCAGCCACAACGCTGTTACACCATCATCCAAATATACCATTGTCAAGAAGATCCCGATCATCTGGTGTTTCTCAGCGCGATACTCAAGGTGGAGCAGCAAGCAATAAGTCATCGCTAAAAGCGTCATTCTCATCTTCAACACAGCAAGGTCATCGTTTCATTTTCATTTTTAAAAAGAGTTTTGATTGCGGTACTTCATTTTATAGATAGTCAATCAATGAAAGGCAATTCGCTAACGTCACAAATGTTCGACGAAGAAACGAACAGTGAAGAGATACGACACACTTCGAATATCAATAAAGTGCCGTCCACTCTTTCGCAACGCTCAGGTTAGTTCATTATTTTTGTTGTTGTCATCAACTACTTTGATTGTACAACCGTTTCAGTTGCGAAGAAGATTTTATTTGGCAATCGTCGCGAATATAATGATCAAAACGATTCTTCACAACGTGCAAGTATAACTCGTAAGCAACGTGCTGCCGCAAGAAAACGTCAAAATACTGCATTTGACTATTTGCGTTAGTTGTATTATTCTTTTGAAGTTATTATTTAGCAATTTATCTTATAATTATTATTACAGATTTGATATTGCTAGCAATATTTTCTTTGCTCAAACGAGCTGCGCAATGGATAACAGATTTGGTGGTTGATATTTCATTGCAACTCAGGGATATCACTGTTTATGCGTATGTCCTTTCATATTCTCTTGTCTTAATTGATCACATTTGTTGTTGAGCAACTTTCAGTGCACTTTCTTCTTATACGAGTGTAACACTGTGTTGTCAACGTTCATGGTATTCATCATGGGATCGGTTGAGGTTAGATATTGCTGTTGTTCATTTGATTACATTGATCTTTTTGTTGAGCTGATGCATCGATTGTTGTAATAGTATTGAAGTTGGCGTCTGAGTTTATTACCAAACCCCATTGTTCTTGTCGTGTTCCTGAAACGTTCTCGATGAAATTTTTAGTCAGGGATTGTTGGAAACTTATTGTCTAGTTTATCAGTTGTTCAGTTCGCTCTTTCAGGTTACTGTGGAATAGTTTGCGTTCGTTAAATGCGAAAAAATTGTGGAGTAGTCGAGAGAATGAACGTGGTGAATGGGGTTTAAGTGATAATATACAACTTCCAACCACGGGTACGTTATTTATCAAGCGATTGCATCTTTAAGTACTAATTCTGTATCCATTCTTGGCCAGTCACTTCTCTGAAACTTGTCTTTAGGGCAATATTCTATATCAAATCGAATGATTCTCATCATTTTACAAAAATAAAATCGCTTATAAGTATCGGTGTCAAAATTTTAAAAAAAGATAAATGAATTTAAAAAGGCATGTTTATTGTTTGGATGAAAGATAGTTGCTGATGAATATGGATGTAAAGGTGACGAAGCGATGGAACGACTGCTGCGTTGTCATGGACAAGATGCTTACGTGGTGTTGGGTTTAAGAGCCGATTGTGCTGATGACGATATCAAACGTTATTACAAGCGCCAAGCTGTGCTCGTTCATCCAGATAAGGTTGTTACTTTTAGTACGTTTGCTGCAGTGAATATGCAAATATTGTTAAAGTACTGCACATTTTTAATTTTTGTTGCTACTTAACCGAATGATATCTTTGCAGAATCATTCAAGTGGTGCAGATGAGGCTTTTAAAATTCTCTCGAGAGCATTCGACGCTATCGGTACACCAGAAGCACGTAACAAATATAATTTAGCTAATCTTCACAAAAATCCACTGGTACGTTGTTCTTCCATATCCTTTCAATCATCATCATCAAAAATTAAATATAATAGAATCAACTAAATTTTTATAGCACAAAGAAATGGAAGAACTTTGGGAACGTTTGAGAGAGAAAATGAATGAGGCGCGTAATACGATGCATTGTGACTGTGGTAAAAAACATGCTCGTATCCCAGTTGAAGGTTGTCGTGCTTCAGAAGCAAGATATTGTAAGAAATGTCGTGTGAGGCATCCTGCTAAGCATGTTAGTGTTTGTTTACTGTTGACGATCGTTATGAAACTTGACAGCCGAAAGTATCGATCGTGAATTTGTAGAATGACATCTGGGCTGAGACTCGTTGTGGTGGACTTTGGTGGGTTTATTATGCTTGTTTGGATGGAATCGTGTATGATATTACTCAGTGGGCTGCTTGTCCGGTTCGTCTACAGAAAATTGTTATGCTCATTTGAGATTTATCGTGATTTGGCCGATGCGTTGAAATGCAAAGATTGATTCGTTATGATTTTTTTCGTTTAGAATAACCGTCTGAAGCATATGAAAGCGAACAGTCACACGGTTCAATATCGTTTGATTAGTACAACAGGATCGTCTGTCAATAAAAGTGATCCATCGTCGAAACATAATAAAAAAAGGTTCATTTCGTTGTTTTCGATTAAAATTTGCAGTATTAGTTTATGATTTACAGTAATAATAATAGTAGCAATAAATGTTATTATTGTCATTAAATTGTGAATAATTTTATCAATTTGTTGCTTAATTGTCATTATGAGTGATTGTTGCATTCAACAAAAGTGATTATTTGATGAACCGAATTGTATTTGGGATGAGTTAACGACGGAATCGAATGCGATATTCGTTCATTTATTTATTCTCTTTGAATATGACAAAATGTATGGCCATACAATAAATTTAATTGAAGTGGTCATCACCATCACCAACAGCAACAACAACATGAATTCAGTGATTTGGACTATATGAATTCGGATATTTTTGGTGGTGCCAAATCGTCGGAAATTCGTTGTGGTTGTTCATCGACAATGCAGATGGGATATAACGACAGATGTGGTGCATGCTATGGCTCGTCACATGAGAAGACGATCGGTATAAACGCGAACGCTTGTTGTGCTGCAGCTGGCATCGCTTCACCTTGTTCATCATCACATGCGCATTCACAACAAGCTTCTTATAGACCACCAGATCGACGTGCTTTGGATGGCGATCGACCGAGACGTGCTGGTAGAAGACGAAAAGTTAGATGAGTGCTTCACTGACTGATTATTATTTTGTTGTTGGTGTTTGCTAGGTTCTTATCGCATTGCATACGGTATTGTTGCTTTGTGAGTGTGACGGAATAAGGGTAGTTTTGTTTCATTGGTTTTTGATTAATTGTGTTTTTAGTGGTCGCTCTAGCGTTCAAGCAAATGTATAGAATAGAGTAATAGTCAGGATTTTGACGTGCACGCTGATTAAGCCGCATGAAAGCGAGTTCAAAAAGCAGTTGAGTGAAATGATGATACGTTTTAATTACAGTCAGTCTTGATGTTCATTCATTAACTGTTTACTGGTAGTGAAAAGGCATTTTGATTAGCCAATTATTCGTTGCTTGTATGCGTCTTTTGATGCCCCCTCTCAAAAGCTTCATCATATTGTATTATTGTGTATTTTGCTAACATTCTATTGCGAACCACATTGTTCACGTATTATTTCAGCTTTTCAGTTATAACTTGTATTGTAACCACCCGAGTTGTTATTGTTTTGTTCATCAGTATTGCTTTATTGCTATCAATACTTTTCTTGTTCAATTATTGTCACTTTGTCACGTTTCAGTTTTTCTATTTATTCGTTGTATGGTTATTGTTGCCGGATGTGTTTTTTTGTAGAATGAACAACTAACTTTCATGCAGCACACCATTCTAACGTTACCGCTATGCACCGTTTGCTGTTGCTAATTGCATATGTTATTTGATAGATCCTTGCAATGATAAGTTGTTGAATGTGCACTATGGCAATGACAATCTCACTTCTCTAATCAGCAACAACAATATAATTCAGTTTGGAATGAATTCAACGCTTATGATACATCGCTGTTTATTTGTTCGTTTCTTGTTTTATGCAAGTCAACAAATTGGTAATCGCAATAAAAATGATAGTTTCATTCGGCGTGGTGACTATTGTTTTGCCGTTGAAGATGTTTCAGAATCAATAAATCAACTTGCTTATAAAGTGAAGGACTCGTTAAGTTTAAAAGTAGAGCCAATTTCAGTATGCAATACTGTACTTCATATTTGTGAACCTTTCTGACCAGGTACATGATTGAGTTGGTCTTATGATAGATACGTACAGTCCGTCTTGTGCCATAATGCCTAGTTTGAAAATAATTGATCCAGTTCCGGCTGTGGCTCTGCATTTTTAAAATTTCCGGCTTTGAATTTCCTAAAACTTCAGCTCAGGCTCCGGAATTTACTTTGCTTCGCTCCGGCTCCGCTCCTGAAGAAAAATGTCGTGTTGATCTTAGCTCCGGCTACTGAATGTTTTTGTAATTTGAGGGAGAAAAAAAACGGAAAATTTTTTTGCCTTTTCGGATAAGGCATCAGTGGTTAAGTCGTAGTTGAATTCTTTATCCGTGAGGTCGAATGATGTTCGCAAATGAATCATCATCAAAATATTGATTTTAATGAGTTTACCGTTATTGACTGACGTAAGAAATTTGCACTGCAAATGGAACAAAGATGAGAATTGAAGAAGGCCGCGTGACTAATCGACAGTTGCTGCGGGCATGCAGACATGGGTGAAGGTGAGGGCGTGAAAGTGCAAGAAATGTTACTGTTCAAGTCACAGATGTTATGAACCACATAAATTGAAACTGAATCAAGCAAAGAGGGTTGTTTACGATAAGCCAAACTTGCGGCTCATAGCCAACGAATTGTGGTTGTGAACAGTGATAATAAACCAGAAAGTGATCAATCAAATCGACAGAATGAAATCAAGTGAAGAGAATGAAACAGAATTGAACGTAAATCAGTGCGTTAATAATGGGTCACGTTTTACTGTCAACAGAACGAGCGCTGCACATAGTAGTGAGCTTGATTTGTTTGTGTGTGAGAACTGGCTGCAAGGAATACATTATTGAACTGGCTGTTCGTTTGGATTTAATTGGTTAAGGAAAACGGTTGGCAGGCTACGGGTTCTCATTCAGTAGCATGTTGCACATGATTCACCGAACACCTTCCGTTATCTGAATTGTCAAATGATTCGGATAAGAGTGTAGATTGTCCTTTGGATATAAATTGCTTATCCGACGTAATGGATTAGTCTTCGATGATACTTAGTTCAAATGATACTGATTTTAAGGTGGCCAGTAAAGTCTTGATCGAGCCTTTTCTCGAGTCATTGATCGTTAGTTGATTGTAAAATTGGGACTCAGCTGCAAGAAATAGTCTTTTACTTGATCAGTCACTATATTCTGTTCGTCTCAGTCGCCTAAAATACCTGAAGAAAATCCTATCTGATGCCAATAATATGTAAGAAAATGCGGAATTGATCAAGAGTGATGCTAGTTGACTACTGGATAGATGTGTGATAATAAGGATGAAGGAATGACTGATAGAAAGTGTTCAGTTCGTCGATCGTGTAATTTGAATTAATTGTATGAAGTAATAATGGTGTTGCATTTTTGCATGAATAAAATGATGGGTTTGTTCGGACAAGGTAAGAAGGTTGATACAAAAGAACAAGTAAGAGAGTTACAACGTAAGATGAGGATCGAAGTGCGACAACTGGATCGTCAAATTCATGCGATCGAGCGAGAAGAGCTAAAGGCTGGTTGTCATTCTTTTATGCATGTGTTCATCATTGCTTATATTGTCAAAAAAACAACAATAATTTCGTGATTTGTGAGAAATGAAAGCTGATGTGACGGTAGGCAGCCAAGTGTTTTCACCAGTTTTCGTTTCTTTGCATCATTCAGACCTAGATGAAGTCATACAAACACATCAAAATATTTTCCTTATCAACACAGGTCACCAATGTTCTGTGGTCAAAGCTCTTGAAAGGGATCGTTGCCATATTCATTGTTTACTATGCAATAGCTGAGTGAAATGAATTACTTCTTTAAAGGTGAAACGACAAATCAAAGAAGCAGCAAAGAAAGGTGATCGTGACGTATGTGTTGTATTGGCGAAATCAATGGTGAACTCCAGAAAGGTCGTCTTCTATTCTCAGATATTCGTATCATTGATGAATGTCACCTGAAATATGTGAACAACGAAATAATTTAATGAATTGATCAGAATCTAACTCAGGCAGTTTCAAAGATACATGCAACAAAAGCGCAAATAAATTCAGTGGTAATGTGCATGCAACAACAGTTAGCAACAGTGCGTATGGCTGGCACATTGCAGCATTCCACTGAGGTTATGAAGAATATGCAGGAACTTGTGAAAGTTAATACTTATTCATTATTGTCTGTTCCTTTTATAAAAGCACCGAAGAAAAGTTCTTGCTTCTTGAAACGTCACTGTTCGAAGTTGAAAGCGTTCCCGCCATCTGCTGAATGATTAATCATGAATTTATTATTAGCAATAAGTATATCTAAGCTTATTTGCTAATAATTTAATTAGTTCTAAAGGTACCTGAAATCATGGCAGTTATGCGTGATATATCAAAGGAGATGACTCGAATTGGAATAATTGATGAAATGATCGAAGAAACAATGGAATCTGTTGAGCCGGAAGAGTTGGAAGAAGAAGCACAAGTGAGTTTAGTTTCCATCAGAAATTGTTTTTATAATAGCCATTGCAAAATTTTAAAATTTCTTTTCTCACTTAAATATTTTGTAAAATCGTTACTCTCGCCGTATATTTTCTTTGTATATGAATTAATTTTGTGTAACACTATTAGAGCTTAAAATGTGCTTTATTCTCTATGGAATATCCTTTGAAGGAAGAGGTTGATAAGATTTTGTTCGAAATAACGTCCGGTGAGCTTGGTAAGGCACCAAGTGCTGTTGCTGATACATTAGTGGCACCAGCAAGCGCTGTAACCGAAGAGGAACAGCCGGTTGATTTCGAAGAGATGAGACAAAGGCTGGAATCCCTGAAAAATTAGTTTCTGGTTAGTTGTTGAGTGATCGTTTGTTCATTTTGATGTTTACAATTGAAGAAATTGCTTTTAGAAGAAATTTTAAATTGGTTTATCTCATTCTGTCGTGCTCATTTATTCAATTATTTATGGTTTGCTTCAGTTTCAGTTTGAGTGGTGCATTCTTACGGATCGCCGGTGTATGTATTATTTACCAGTTGATGATCTATTTCAGAAACGAACAAACTTGTTTTGTTTAGTTCGAAATTTGCTTGCTTTACCCTCAGTGACCCATTTCATTATATGATTGTCAAATTTTAACATTCTAATTTTGTATGATTTATCGTGTGTCATGTGTCTGTCCATTTTCAATGCATCAGTCTATCCAACTGAGGCAATTAATTGTGAAGCACTTCAGTTCATGCGGAATGTTTACGTTATGATGGGAGGCATTCAAAAGAGACTAAACGACTGGCACATTTGCATAACCGAATGAATGCCATTGCATTCATTCGTTCATCCAAGACCACCCATTATATTTCTGGATGTTTTCTTTTTGCCTAATTGTAAGAATTTTCCAGTGATTCATTCCATTTGAAGTTCTGATCGATCTTCTTTTCAGTGGACTGAAATCTTGATTGAAATGAAAGTTTTACCTCTATGACAAGAAACATGGGTGGTTATTTGCTCTGTTTGGGTTTCTCTCTATGAAATTGATGAATAAATTTGCCTTTGTTTTTTTGTGTAAAATTTTCTTGAATAGGCATTTTGTGTACCATATTCACCAAACGTTGTTATGGTCTATTGCCGTTCAAAACATTTGTCCATTTTTATGTTGAATGTTTAAAAAAAAGCGCCAACTTTATACATCGTAATAGTGTGATGCAGGGATCAGGGAATTTCGAGGACTCCGCCTCCGACTTTTTTCAAGCCAACCACATTTTCGGGGCCCCCGACTGGAAAATTTCGTCCCCGATTTTTCTAATCCTATACTTTTTTCCGTCCTCGTACCACACTTGTTCGCATCATAGCTCGATTAAAGCAAATACCGATTTAACGGACATCCGATTCAGGCAACAAAACTTGGTGTATCGTTTGTGTTTTTGATGAGTTCATCAGTTGTGAAACGAATCAGAAATAAATTGATCTGGAAACGTTTGATGAATTTCATTATCTAACAGTATATTATGATGACTAGATTGGAGTATCACGATTGCTCCCGTATTCTTTCCAAAACAATTTGATTGCTGGAATTCGTAAGCTTGGACTAGAACTCACTCAATTTGAATGGAATTCAACGGTCGCATTAGAGTGATATTGATCCGTTGTCTCTTTTCTATGATATGATCCGTTCAAAAGACATACATACAATTGAGATGAGAGCTTCGATCCGATCTCTTCATCTTGCCTCATCCATCAGTGCTTTTCTCTTCAGTTTTATTCTCAGCCAATCTTTAAGTGAGCTGTACAATTTTTTAAACAAAATGCTGTCTCTGAACATCACTTAAATATTTTTTGTGTAAAGTGTAAGCATTTTCTAGTTTTTTCTTTTGGTTATTTCAATTCCTTCACATCCCTACCATTGACTGATTGTCAATTTTTGGCTTTCTGTCGTTTGTAATGAAAAAAAAAGCATTCTGCGAGCGAAAAATTTCAGCTGCGAGAGAAAATTCCATAACGTATGCTAACGATAGCCGAGGGAGTATGACCGGTAGACTTGAGCTCAGTTTTTACTGATCAAATTTTATCTTTGTTTGTTTCAACTCAAAAATCAAATGCACGTATAAGTGATAGATGTATAATTTTAGTGATATTGTTGATGAATTTACGACATATTCGGTTATGAATTAAAGATGAATATCTATTAGGAGAATTTGGGTATGGTCGATAAAGTTGATGAGTATTGATTGCAGACTCATAGGCGGGGTGAGATGAGGAAACTGCTGAAGGTAGAAATGGAAGAGATGATCTGTTGAATTTGTTCGAGTATATGCTGTATCGCTTCGAAAATAGCACCAATCGAATAGTGCTTGAGTTCTGAAATTTCTCAACCGTGACTCGATGACTTTGTTGGGCGATTCAGGAAGCGTTTTTCTATATATTTAGATATTAAATTCATGTGAATGTGTTTTCAGCAATGTATTTTTTTTATTGATCTATTTGGTTGTATCGCTGCAGTTATTCTGAAATGATCTATATGTAGTGTGTGATCATCGAATCATTTGTCTATTCGAGTCATATTGATCTTTGAAAATCGATGATGTATCAGCTGATTGAGTGCTAACTAATTATCGATTATGTTTGATTATTAACGGTATTCAAGTTAGAGAAGGTCACTTGTGAAGTGAGAATGAAGTTTTTGTACCTTATGTGCATGTTGAATTTGATTCATGTTCATTTCTAGTTGCGGATTAATGCAATCAACATTATGTTTCAGTTGTGCATCAAATTAGCTGTGTTATCACTTTGAATGTGTTATCACTTCATTTCACAGTATCAGTTTTGAAAAGTTTATCGAAGAGACATCATTGTAATAACCACACAAAGAAGTATGATATCAAATCCACTTCTCTTACGTATGTATCTGCTGTAAATATTCAGTAATCGCAAATTTCATAGCATATTTCTTTATCAACCACATTATGGCGCGTATCACCATTTGAATAAATAAATCATTTGTCAATTGTTCAAATTTGATTTGATTTGTTCAGATCAACTGCAATAAGCACTATCGATGTTTTATTATTCGTTTTTATTTTGCTTTTATTACTACTTTTGCCGTTATTATTATTATTACTGTTATTGTTATTATTGTTATTGTTATTATCCTTACTCCCATGTATTATTTTTTTTACTATTACATTACTATATTCTGTGAAGTAAGTGTCCTTCAGATCTAGCACTGATATCAGACATTCTATGTGATAGTCCAGCTAAGAGAATTGAGCATGATAAGGTTGTAATTTGTGTAGTGAATTGTTTTTTTATTCAGCTCAATATTTTTGTGATTTTCAAGTGCATAAGGTCGTTAGATTGTAGTCAGTTTCCACTTGACAATATTTCGTTGAACTTGCATATTGTATTTACGTAAACTGAGAAGATATTTATATAGTCGTTCTTAATCATTGAGTAGGCGGCAGTAAAATAGTGTTATTCTTTGTGATTAAATAATCAAGAAACTTATAAACCTTGCAAAGATGACTGATGATTTGTTGGATGTTGGGGAATTGATTGCTTGTTCCTAACTGTCAGCCACGTATCCATTCCATACGTCTATGTTATCCACATTTTTCGTTTTTGCTTCTTCTCAAGCTATATATATATATATATATATATATATATATATATATATAG